AAAAGGAAATTCAAGATACCACTGCCCTTTCTGAAAATTTTTCTTTCTCAGGCAGACTGCCATTATCAACAGTAGTAGTAAATGTTGACTGTAAACTAACTTTGTGTGTGTGTGTGTTTTTTTTTTAAGACAACATATGAATTTAATTTAGGATACTAATAGGCACGGTAAACACTTTAATACTATTTGTTACGTTTTCTTTTTTTGGATAATGGAAAATTAGTTTTTAGTTTAAGTCATAAAGTGGAATTTGTTAGTGTAATGTAAACTAGTCTGTCTTTGTTCTTCACCTGGGCTGTGGATATCATAATAAGCGAGTGTGTGAAAGTGCAACCTTTGAACTGCTAATTAGCTCACTAACAAGTTATTTCTAAATAAATAGACTCATCTGTATTACTTCAGGTTCTGAGATCACAGATGGTTTATCATCCAACTTCAACGTTTATTTTTCCATGGGATTCTAAAGATTTTCTTTACAAATGATTAAGATTTTAGAAATTTCCTTTGTCACATTTGTAGCGGTGTGTCAATCTATACAAGTTGTCTGAAAGTTTCTTTGATGTTCAAAAGCTGTCATATCACTTAACCTTGGTCTTTGAGAGAAAGGTTACATGTGGACCACCATTGTTCTGAGCCCATTCCTTCCTTTCCAGCCTGCAAAATGATTAAACTCTAAGTTTTGTTTATTTGGGTGCCTCAAACCTGAGTCTCAGCTTAATTACTTCCTCCTGAAAGCTTTTCCTGACCCCAAGAAAGGTTAGCTACCTCCTGATATGCCCTCTCATAGCCTGTGTTTTAAAGTAAGTACTGGTTTAACTGTCATCTCCACTAGAATGGAAGCGCTAACAGGTTTGGGATTAGGTCAGTCTTATTCAGTGCCGGAATTCGATAAACACTGGTGGAACAATCAAATCGGGGGCCTCCCTCATTCTCTCTGAATCCTTACACAGCATTTGATAGTATAGAAAACATCCCACTCTTCTTTTCTGAAGGCTTCCCTCCCTCACTGTGACAGTACTCTCCTCTCATACTCCTCCCACCATTCCCATTGCTCTTTAGTGGCTTCTTTCCCTCAGCCATATCTTTATGTTCTTTCCTTGGGTCCTGCCCTAGCTCACTTCTCCGTGCCAGCACATGGCAGGCACTTGACCAGTAAGTATGTTGAATGAATGAATGAAAGAATCTCATGCTTTAGACCCTCCTGGGGAAATGCTATCCATCTGCATAACTTCAATAATTATGTTAAATTAATGAGGTCTAAATCTTTATCCCTAATTTCTCACCTAAACAAACCTATATATCTCCATGAATGTCAATATGTTCACAACTCAACCCAGTTAAACACAGCAGATTGATCACATCGTTATCTCCTTTCCCTGCCCAAACCCTGCTAAGATGATGGCAAAGGGATTTCTTTAATTCTTTAGTTACAATTGGTTTAACAGTATACCAGCCACTTCTTAGTGTGAAGATGGGTCCTTTTTGAAATGTGTGAAGCTCAGCAGACCAGAGTTGGGGCCTCATTGTTGTGTAGGTTGAACAGTCTATTAGGTGATGCTTCCTGGATGTGTTAGTTTTGTAAACTTTTACCTTTTTTTCAATGCGCTCTCTTCTCTTAAAATGGAATAAATTTCTTTGCTTCTATATAAAGCCACCATTTTTGCTATTCAATGACCACATTCCTAAAACCATCCCTGATCTCTCCTACATCTTCAAATCCTTTCTTTCACTTGGATCATCACCATCAGCAGAGAAACATATCACCCATTTTAAGCAAAACAGAAAATGTCCTTGACTTTATATGTCCTCATCAGCTCCCATCCCATTTATCTTCTCCTCTTCACTATAAAACTTTTCCAGAGTTGTCTTCAGTCATGGTCTCCACTTCCTCACCTCCCATTCTGATTTCAACCTACTGTGATTGTGGTTTCATACCACTTCTTCTTAGCACATATATTATCATATTTTTACACAAGTAATGTGCACCTTCTGCGTTTGTTTGCCAACCGCGCCCCCTTCCCAGGTAATTTTTTTTCTTTTACAGCAACATTTAAAAAAATATTGGCATAGGGGCACTTCTGTAAATACCTCACAGGGAGAGGGCACGAATGGCAAAAAAGTTTAGAAGGCCCATGTTATTTGTGTAAAAACATGGTATATAAAAGAGGAAACACAGTACGGTTGCTAAATTTGGAATTTAATATTTGACCTCTTGAGTTCTAATCCCTGTTCTGTGACTCACTAGGTATAAAAGTGACAGAACTTCTCTGTGCCTCAGTTCCCTTAACTATGAGGATAATAAAACTATCTATCTGATAGGGTTGTTGTGAGGATTAAAACAGCAACTAAAAGCACATATAATAGTGTCAGGCATATAGGAAGTGCTCATGTGCTCATCCCTTTCTTCTTACTATCTAAACTCTTCCTAGGTAACCTCATTCAGTCTCGTACTTTTAAATACCATCTACATGCTGATGTTGCTCTAATTTATATCCTCAATCCTGGCTCCCCTGACCATCAGACACATACATCTAACCTCAAACTTAACAAATCTAGGACAGAATCCTTAAGAACCACCTACCCCCTGCCCATCTCAGCCCATATACCTACTCCTATCACATCCTCCTATTTCTGTTACCATTATCATTATTAACCCAGCTGATGAGGGCAAATCACTAGAAGTTATGTTTGATTTTTCCTCCTTCCCTCAACCTGCCATTCGATTGTTAGCGGTCTTTATTTTTTCCACCTCCAAAAGATATCCCAAGTCTCTCTCTCCTTCTTACCACATCACTGCTGCCACCTTACTCCAAGCCACCATGGCTTCTTTCCATGATACTGCAAAATCCTTCCAACTAGTCTCCCTACTTTAAATCTCTACTCCTCAACAGGCCGCTTTCCTCACAGTAGCAAGTAATCTCAAAGCATAAACCAGATCATATCAATTCCCTGCTTAGCACCTTCCAGGGCATTCCAATTACAATTAGAATAAAATTTAAACTCCCAAACTCGGCATTATTCCAAACAAAATGTGTTTAAACATGTCTCTGCAATTAGTGGATGGCTGCAGACAAGTTCTCTCGGTAATACACTTGTCTTAGTATCATTAGGATGCATTTTTAAAAAAGCATACTTTTTGTGCCAAGTAAAAAAATGATTTTGAAGTCAGGGTTAATATCAAATTTTTAACAAAACTCAAGCAGACATCTTCCCAAATCACTGAAGCTTTGCAACAAGTTTATGGGAAAGCTGCCCCACATAAAATAACAGTTTTTAGATGGATCAAGTGTTTTAAGCACAGTAGGGAAGACCTCAAAGATGGGCCAAGAGAGGAAAGACTGCTCAGAAGGTTATGGTGACTACTTTTTTGGGACTCCAAAGGGGGTAATCTTGACAGATTTTCTCAAAGAACCCAGGATGATTACAGAGGCAATGAAGTTTAAAAAAAATTGAAAACTGTATTGATGAGAAAAAGGCCAGGATATTTGCACCAAGGATTTTTTTTTATATCACAACTATACACCTGCTCATTCTTACCCCATCCACCCTACAGCCCTGATCTTGCCCCTTCAGACTTCTTTATTCCTAAAACTCAAAGAACATTTAAAATGAACACGATCTGAGTCTCTCGAGTATACCAAAACTGCCATCTTAACGTGGTGTAAACTGAAGAGCGCAGAAGAGTTACATGGTGTTAACTCTTCAGGGAACGGTTAGAGTTGGAAACATTGCCTTCAGATGTGTATAGACCTAGACAGAGGATATGCCGAGAAACGATAGCTTCACATTTTGGTAGTTTTGTTTAATAAAGGTTTCTATGATTTTGTAGCAATACTTTTTGATTTACCCTCGTATATGCTCTGCCCTGGCCTGACTCTCCAAACTTACCTCCTAGTACTTTCCTGTCACTTTTTCTGCTCCAGCCATATTGTCTTTTTGAAAAGATAGCAAACTCATTTCCACCTTGGTGCCTTTATACTGGCTGTTCCCTCTGACTGGATGGCTCTTTTCCAAGATTTTTGCAAGGTTAGCTCATCTGCATGTTATCATCTCAGGGAAACCTTCCTTCTCACCCCATCTAGTGTACCCTCTCCTCCACTCCACTCCACTCCACTATTTATCCTAATATCCTGTTTTATCTTCTTCATAGCACTTACAGCTAAATAAATTGTTTACATGTTTAATGGCTATCTCTGATCAGTAAGGGCAGCAGGGACCTTTTCTGTCTTACTCACAGATAAATCCCCAGCATCTAGAATCTTAACTAGCCCATAGTAGCCATTCAATCAATTTTTATTGAATCACTTCCAAGAAACTCAAAAGATGAGTGTTCACTTTTTACTTTTAGCCATGGGGTAATGAAGGTCCACCCCTAGCACCCGCAAGTTAATTTGTTCTTGGAATATCATCAGTCAAGATGGGTATATTAACCAATATCAATTATTACTTAAGTCAATTATCACTAAAGAAAAAAAGCACTCATATATTTCATCAGTTATCATAATAAAAAAAGAAACAGACGTGCATTTTCAGATACTTCCCTTTATATCCCCATGATGTTTCTAACTTAGATAAGGTATTAAACTTTGTGAAAAAAAAATTAGGTACCTTCCAGATAAATACAGATAAAGCTAGAACTCATACTCAGGTCTACCATCCCTATTTTTACTACTGGATCATGGATTTGTTGACCTTATAGGTTACCTATTTTAGAGCAGTCCCAGTCAAAGTAGTAATAGAAGTCCAAGACATAAATCTTTAAAATTTCAACAGAAATTTCAAATAGTTGTAATGGCTAAAATATAAAGTTCCTTGACTTTAGGAGAAATTAATGCAGGTTGAAAACACTAACCTCATGGTAATTGTTGAAGAAGACTTTGATAAAAATAGGGAACTGTTAACAATAAATGAGCTTAGTAGTCATTATCTTTTAAAAATCTATCATTAGGGCAGTGAGATAGGTCATCACAAGCCCATATGCTCAAGTCCAAACTCTGCAGCATGTAAAGTCTTTTACAATCTGACCCTTGCTTCTCCCCCAGCTACTTCTCACCACATATCGGTGAAATGTGGTCAGCTCTATGACCATCTCGAAAATTCCTGTTTATCTTTTACTAGCTCAAATGTCACCTCCTCTTAAACCCTTCATAGGTTGAAATGTCTCTTATCCATGTTCCTAGATGAACTCTGAACATGATTTTAGGCATAAGGTATCACAGTATGTAACCAGATATCACTGATAGTTGTTACACGTTTCCTAGCTAGGCTGTAAATGTTTGCTAAATTAAATAAATATCATTTAAATCCTAAATCAATATGCAAAATGTCTGTTACAGAGTAAATATTCAATTAATACTGGTGAGACTAATTAGTGATTGAATGAATGACAAATCTTATTAGAATTATTGTTACAGCTAAAAATTGTGTAAGTCTACTTCTGTGAAATTAAGACTACTACTGCTACCCTGGAAAATTCTACATCCTCTCTCTATAGGTGAATTTTTCAAGTAGAATGATCACCTGGAAGTTTCACTGTATCTGAAAAGTTCTGAGAAAGATGACCAGACCTCTAAATCAGCAAATCCTACTGATCCTCCCAAAATGCTCTCTGCTTAGACGTGAATTTTCCTAGACTTCTGATGACATGAAACCTTTCAAACATTCTGCTGTTGTTTCCTTGCGTTAACCAATATCACCCGAACACCAAAAACTTGGTGGATGACTACCTAGCAGAAACATGGAAATGTATTCTAAATAGGAATCACTTTTAAATGAATTTACTAAACTTTGTATTGCCACAACAAAATTTCATTTCTTGATCATTCTCTAAAAAGAGATAGACTTTTAAATTTTAATAAAAAGTTGAGTGCTATTTTAATAATCCTTTGAATGACTTCAAATGTACTTACTAATAAGATCTGTGAACATTTAACATTTTTGACAATAAAAAATGATGCACTGGTAATCCTACATTCAAATAAAAATTTGCATTTCAAAATTAGCAAGCTAACTATAATTAATGTACAATTATTTTTACAAAGTACAGCAAAATATTCATTGCTGTCTCAAGATCCATAGTACCAAAAAATGTTTTAAATTTTCCTTTGAAAATTCCAGTCCTTTTTTTGTTACAAATCATGCCACTAATTATTTTTAAGTATCTATGTACAGAAAAATATACCAAAATCCATCAACAAAGACTGTTTTTGATTAATCTAGGATTCCAACCCATGCAGATTGTTCGAAGAGTTATCTGAAGTATACAGTTTAGAAATGATCATTTGAATGATTTAATCTTAATCTTATTATGTTCAAAAACATAAAACTAAGAACACAGAGTATGCAAAACTGTTGCTTTATTGATATTACAGTTTAGCTTTAATACACACCAAATACAAACACAATTATTAATTAGACATTTAGTCACTTATCCTGCAAAACAATATGCCAGGATCAACCTTGAAACATTTATAAAAATCAAAATGTATGAAATAGCTCCTCAACTACTCTAAGGACTCCACAGACAAATGCAAAAATGGGAACTTGTCAATCATCAGGTCAAATGGTGAGTTACTGATTAAGTAGTAAGAAATGATTTCTGACTTTAAAATTAAATAGCTCCAGGTAAAAACATGTTATTTCCCACATATGCTATCTTTGTACTCTGTGCAGAGTTCCAAGGCAAAGATTGCTTCTGGCTTTATGAATTACCAGAGATGATGACCTGTGTGGCTGACTTATCACAGGTCTTTTATTCTTCTTTCCTGATAGATCCTTAGCTTCTTTGGGAGGAGGCATATGAATTGGTTTCCATGGAATTGGATTATAAAAGGCTGGTTCTGGATAGGAGTTTCCACTGTAAAAGCCTAATATTATTTTTAAAAAGAGAAAAAAACACTTAAATCAAAGAAATGACTTATTTTAAAATCCGAGCAAAATGTTAAAAAATCTGAAGGGCAAAAATGTCATTGATAAACTGGTTTGATTCACTTAAAACTTGAACTCTTGTATACTAACTCTTCTTAAATATGGTAACTATTACAGTATAAATATTAAAATATAAATAATTCTAAAAATCCAAAGGTTAATTTATAACTAAATATAAAAAATGTTTAGAAAAGTTTATGAAGAAATTAATTTTAGAACCCTTAAATTGAACAAAATCTTCATTCTCTTAATTCAGTCTGGAGAACTACTGATTGTGTACTAGCTTCCTCCTGTCAGACGCTAAAGTTTACAGAAAAAAATTTATTTTGCATATGTAGCTAATGTGAATCAAAATTCTTGTTTAGAATCACTGAAATGCTGAACTACTGTCACTCAAATTATTAAGATTTCACATTATCACTATACTTTCGATCACTAATTATGTAGCACTCGCCTGCTGGAATGCATGAGGTGTTCAACGCATTGTGATGCCTGGGACGTAATAACTACGTGAAGGAGGAACAGTTTGCAAATTATATCCAAATCTTCCAGTCACCATATGCATATAAATTCCTTTATTTCATAATTTGTAAAAAATGATATGGACATAAAGAATACAGACTTATGAGCAGTAAAGCACTTGCAAACAATATACTGTTTGTCAAAATTAAACTCATTAAAAACATGAAAAAATTAATAAAGTAACCCATTATTTTAGCAATTAGCTTTTGGTCAATATTTATTCCACCTAAAATTTTAATTTTACCATCCAATCACGTGATTAAAATCCTTGCTTAATCATTACCCTTTTTTCAAACAAGAAAGAAAAAAAAGGAAGCAGACCATGCTCAGTAGCTGTAATGAATGACCTTTGTGACATATACGAGAGGCCTAAATCCTGACAGCAGGAATGTGTCATTCAGACACCGGCAGCCCACTTTGACTGCAAAGATATGTCAACACACACTTCACCAAGATGGTCAAAACAAAGTCTGGAATATGTTCTATTGTGTGAACAAAATAGAAAGGGAGTATTTTTCACAATAAATCACTTAAACAAGTGAAGGCAGCTGTCAGCAAGGTATGAGCTTCCAACATGAAGCAGAGAGAAAAGCATGCATTGCCATTTATAATCAGACCAAGCCTAAAGGCCAACTGGCTCTGCATCTGGCTCATGTGTTGTCTAGTATTCTATCCTGCAAAAAGATTGTGCCAGAGGCACTGGAGCTCTGCTTTAGAGCCAGTCAGAAGGGAAGGAAAAGTAACCCAATTGATATATCCTGATTAAGGCTTTATCATCCATGAACTATAAGAGAATTTTACTTGTTTCTTACTGCTAGAAATCATTACTTTAAAGCTTAAGTCTGAGTTTTGCGACCACTGATGTTAAGAAAATAACAAATATCCAGTTTATGTGAAATGACAATAAATTTGTGGTATCCCCACAGGAATATAGTATGTTATACATAATCTTTTGGAAAATAGTAATTTGAAAGAAAAATTATTTTTACACATTTCTATTTCTGCCAAAAGGAAACTAAATGTATAATATTTGCTCCTGCAAACCATATTTATGTAAGCCACTAGCATAAAAACCAACCTGTAAGTTTTCCATTGGCATAACCATAGCTCTTTGCAGCTGGACGAGGTTTATTTTTTGCATTTTCCAACCATTCCTTAAATTTTTTTTCTGCTATTTCCTTTTTTTCTTGTAATTCAGCTTGCCGCTGTTTTTCTTTTTCCTTAAAATGACAAGACAAAAAAAAATTTCAGGGATATTCTGTAACTAAAAATTCCATTCAATATCTACTGCTTTCTCCCCCCAGTAGTTTCCCACCCGAGTTGCTTACAGGCCATAAATATTTAATCATATTTCTGTAATTTGAGAGTAAAATTCAATACGGTCAGGAATGTGTTACCAAGGAGTCTGCCTCTGAACAACAATAGGACATTAACCCAAGAGAAAAAAGGAATTTGCCGTGTTAAAAGAATACTAATTACACTATACACTGAAACCCATGAAAGCTGGAACTCGACAGGACTGCCTCGTTTTTCTGGATCTTGCAATTTCTCTGCCTTTGACAAGGTGCTGTCTTATCACTTTTCCATTGCTCTCTATTAGTGAAAATATTTCTGTTTTCCTTCTCTGACAGGTTTCCGCCATTCACAGGTTCCAGCTTTCACAGCTTTTACTGTATAAAACTTCATAAAAGTGGATTGAAAAATATTTAAAAGCAGTAACAACAAAAAGTTTTGAACCTGACTGAAAAATATCAACAAGTTTATTACTATTTCTCAACCAAAGAAAACCACAAATGAATATTCACTTCTAAAGCTTAAACACAGTATGCTAGAATAAATAGAAATAGCTCCATGTATTTATTTTACAGTCAGCACATATAAACACCAAAGTCACACATTCTAGTAGGCCGTTCTAATAAAAATACCTTTTCTTTCTTCTTCTTTTCACATTCTTCAGCATTTTTTTTCTTTAGCCACTCTTGATATTTTTCTTTTGCTTTTTCTTGCAAAAGTTCTTTTTCTAGTTCCTTTGCTGCTTTTTCCTCCATTTCTTTATTAATTTTTTGTTCCCTTTCTTTTCTTTTCTTAAATAAAAACAGGAGAGATTTAATTGGAATACTTGTAATTACCTTCATACCAGGAATGATCATTATATATAGTAATTTGTGAAACTTCAGTTATTTCTTAAAATAGGTGATAGATAGTACAGTGGGTGGCACAATGTGGCTTATGAAAATATATAACATACCTGCAATTACCTGTTCAATGTTAGTCTACCAGTTGGCTCTAAGTTTTATGAGGGCACTGACAAAGGTCTTTCTCACAAAAGTACGGTCTGAGTCAGGGACAGTAAATAGTAGGTGCTCAATAAAGATTTGTTAAATAAATTAGTGAATGACAATTACAACCTGTTGTATTTTCCTAAATCTTAGTATTTTTTAATGAATGTCTATCTTCCCTCTAAAATAGAAGCCACATGTGTACACATCTCCTTGTAAGATAGTTTGCCAATACGAATACTTGAGTAAATCTTCCCCATTAGTGAATTACAGAAAGACAAAATAATAATATTTTGGCCCATCAAGTACTGCTGTAAGGACACATATAGGCAAATCTCTGGCAATGTAATTCTTATAAGTCTTACACAGATGGGGGGCTGGCAAACTACAGCCAGGAGGCCAAATCTGATCTGCCAGCAACCTTTATTTGTAAATAATGTTGTAATGGCACATGGCCACACCTATTAGTTTACATATTTATTATCTATGGCTGCTTTTGCACTACAACAGCAAAACTGAATATCTCCAACAGAAACTGTATAACCCACGAAGTCTAAAATATTTACTATCTGGCCCTTTACAGGAAAAGTTTGCTGACCCCCTACATAAACTATAATGCAGTATTTGTTCCTTTCTCATTTAAAAGATTATCCACCAGATAAAAATCTATCTACAAAATGATACTTAAGGTATGAAATAGTAAACATAAAAGATCTTCCTTTTCTCTTGTTTTAATTTCTTGAAATAAGGAAAAAAATCTCAAGAATGTCCATTAATAAATGAATGCATACACAAAATGTGGTATACACATACAATAGAATATTACTCAGCCATAAAGAGAAATGAAATCCTGATACATGTCACACATGGAAGAACACTGCAAACATTATGCTGAGTGCAATAAGTCAGTGACAAAAGGACAAATATTGTATGATCCCATTTAAAAATATCTAGAATAAGCAGGTATATAGAGACTAAAGTTTATTAAGTTATAAGAGATGGGCAGAAGGGAGGAAGAGAGGGAGACTCATTACAACTTTATGCCAGTAAATACAACAATTCAGATAAAATACAATGGCTTGAAATACACCACTTCCCAAAACTGACTAAAAAAGAAATAAAGTGAATAACCCTCTACTTGTAAACAATTGAATTCAGAATTAAAAAATCCTCCCCACAAAGAAAACTCCAGCTTCTGATGGCTTCATTGGTGAATTTTATTATACATTTAAGGGAGAAATAATACCAAATCCTACACAAATTATTTTAGAAAATAGAGGAAAAGGGAACACATCTAAACTCGTATCAAGAGACCAGCATTACCCTAATTTCAAAACCAGGCATGGTAATTGCAAGATACTGTCCAACAGGGATAGGATTATCTTTTCAATAATGTTAGAACAAACGGATCTCCATATGCAAAAAAATGAATCTTGACCTTTATCTTGACCATATATTAAAATTAACTTGAAGTAGACATACAGGTAAAAGCTAAAGCTATAAAACTTCTGGAAGACAACAAAGGACAATACTTTTACACTTTGAGATAGGCAAACATTTCTCAAACAGGTCACAAAAACGACAAACCACAAAAAGAAAAAATTGAAATACTGAATTTCATCAACATTAAAAACTTGTGCTCTTTAAAAACCACTATTAAGAAAAATTAAATAAGAAGCCACACATCAGGAGAAAATCTTTGATGCGTATATATATTCCAAATTTTTATATATATATTTATATATATCTCAAATAAATATCTGAAATATATATATCAAATATATTTGATTAACAACCTGTGATATACAGATGATGCAACCTTGCCTGCTGAAAGTGAAGAGGACATGAAGCATTTATTGATGAAGATCAAAGACCACAGCCTTCAGTATGGATTACACCTCAACATAAAGAAAACAAAAATCCTCACAACAGGACCAACAAGCAACATCATGATAAATGGAGAAAACACTGAAGTCGTCGAGGATTTTATTTTACTTGGATCCACAATCAACCCCATGGAAGCAGCAGACAAGAAATCAAAGAATGCATTGCACTGGGCAAATCTGCTGCAAAAGACCTCTCTAAAGTGTTAAACAGCAAAGACTTTAAGGACTAAGGTGTACTTGACCCAAGCCTTGATGTTTTTAATCACTTCATATGCATGTGAAAGCTGGACAATGAATAAGGAAGGCTGAAGAAGTAGTGATGCAATTCTTTATGAATTACAGTGTTGGCGAAGAATACTGAATATACCACAGATTGCCAGAAGAACAAATCTGTCTTGGAAGAAGTATAGCCAGAATGCTCCTTAGAAGCGAGGATGGCAAGACTTCCTCTCACGAATTTTGGACATGTTATCAAGAGGGACCACTCCCTGGAGAAAGTCATCGTGCTTGGTAGAGTAGAAGGTCAGTGAAAAAGAGGAAGACCTTCAACGAGATGGACTGACATAATGGCTGCAACAATGGGCTCAAGCATAACAATGATTGTGAGGATGGCACAGGACCGGGTAGTGTCTCGTTCTGTTGTACACCGGGTCGCTATGAGTCGGCACCAACTCAATGGCACCTAACACGATATCTCAAATATATATACATATGTACATATATATATATATATACATATATATATACACACACACCTGACAAAGGACTTGTAACCTAAATATATAAAGAATTCTTACAACTTAATACAACACAAAATCCTTCCAAAAAAGTGGACAAAGACAGGAACTAATGCTTCACAAAAGAGATGTAGAGATGGTCAATAAGCTCACAAACAGAAACTAAACAACAGACCTCAGGGAAATGCAAACTAAAAGAACAATGATACACCACTACACACAAGAGAGGCTAAAATGAAAAAGACCAACAATAACAAATTTGACAAGGATGTGGAGCAAATGAGACTTTCATACAATGGCTGTGGGAATGTGAAACGGTACAAGCACTTCAGAAAAACAGTTTGCCAATTTCTTATAAAGTTTAACACATACTTATCATACAACCCAGCAATTTAGCTCTTAGGTACTTACCCAAGTAAAACGAAACCAAATGTCCACAAAATAACTTATAACTTGTACATGAATGGTCACAGGCTTTTATTCATAATACCTTAAAAATGGAAACAATCCTAACTGTCCATCAAATGAGTAAACAATTTGTGGTATACAGGCAGTCCCTGGATTACGAATGAGTTCCATTCCTAAACCTGCTTTAAATCAAATTTGTACGTAAGTCGAACAGTAGGTACGGTTCCTATCTAACATCAGTAAGTCAAATGTTTGTCTTAGTATATAGTACATAATGTAAAAAACATTGAAGAAACACTTCCAGATAGACTATATCATCTTTAACATAGTAATACAGTAATAGTAATGTTTTCATGCCTGTCGCAAAGTAGAGCCCGTTTGTTACTATGAACCATTGTGTTCAAATTTTTAATATAATAGGCTTTATAAGTCTGACATTTGTAACCTGGGGACTGCTTGTATACATAGGATAGAATATTACTCGGTATAAAAAGGTACAAAGTTGATACATTCCATAGCAGAATAAATTTAAGAACAAAAAGAGCTCAACACAAAAGAGTTTAAATTCTATGATTTCATTTATATGACATTCTAGAAAAGGCAAATTCAATCTACAGGGACAGAAAGCAAACTAATGGTTTCCCTGAAGCTAGGGCTTGCTGGGGAGGTGGTATCAGAAGTTAACTGCAAAGGGTCACAAGGGAAATTTTTTGAGGAGATGGAAAAGTTCGATATCTGTATACTTAAAATAAGTGTATTTTATTATATGTAAATTATAACTTATATTCAGTCTGTACTCTGAGCAAGTAATCTGAGAAGCTGGACTATATGAAGAAGAATGTGGCATCAGGATTGGAGGAAGATTCATTAACCGCCTGTGTTACACAGATGACACAAACTTACTTGCTGAAGGTGAAGAGGGCTTGAAATACTTACTGATGAAGATCAGACTACAGCCCTCAGGATGGATTACACCTCAACATAAATAAAACAAAAATCCTCACAAATGGACCAATAAGCAACATCATGACAAATGGAGAAAAGATTGACGTTGTCAAGGATTTCCTTTTACTTGGATCCACAATCAACACCCATGAAAACATCTGTCAAGAAATCAAATAATGTATTGCATTGGTCAAATCTGCTACAAAAGACCTCTTTAAAGTGTTAAAAAGCAAAGATGTTACTTTGAGAACTAAGGTGTGCCTGACCCAAGCCATGGTGTTTTCAACTGTCTCATATGCATGTGAAAGTTGGACAATGAATAAGAAACAACAAAGAAAAATTGACGCCTTTAAATTACAGTGTTGGCAAAGAACACTGACTATACCAAGGACTGCCAGAAGAACAAATTTGTCTTGGAAGAAGTACAGCAAGAATGCTCCTTAGAAACGAAGATGGTGCGACTTTGTCTCTTGTACTTTGGAAATGTTATCAGGACAGACCAGTCCCTGGAGAAAGACATCATGTTTGGTAAAGTAGAGGGTCAGCGAAAAAGAGGAAGACCCTCAACGAGATGGACTGATACAATGGCTGCAACAATGGGCTCAAACACAGCAATGACTGTGCGGAAGGCACAGGACTGGGCAACGTTTTGTTCTGTTGTACACAGGGTCGCTATAAGTCAAACCAACTCGACAGTACCTAACGACAACAAACTATAGCTTAATAAAGTTGATTAACAAAAATAAGATAGGTTCTCTGCAGGATTTAAGCTAAAGAGGAGAGAACAGAATGCTTTTAGTTAGCAAGAAGAGAACACAGCAGGCACTCAGGGAGAAGTACTGAGAGACAGAAGCCATCTCCTAAGTGGCTTCTGATTTTTTGACACTCTGGAGCTACATCACAACACAGCACAATAAACCTTCCTTTTCTTAAAATGGTGCCAGAGAGAACTTCTGTTTCCTGCAACTATAGGAAACTAACAAAACAACTGGCTACTTAAAGTTTCTGAATTTTTATTTTAGTTCCTCAAGTAGTGCCTGGCATACAGTAAAGCTGAATAAGCATTTGTCAAATGCATGAATGATGAGAGACAGTTTGATAATCATACAGCTTGTGGATCTGAATTAATTTTTTAGACAGGCAGTCCCTGGGTCAATGAACATCTGACTTATGTACAACCCATAGTTACAAATCAACCCCCATAAAGCCTATTATATTAAAAATTCGAGATATATACAATGGTTTATAATAACAAATGGGTGCTACTTTGTGATATGCATCCAAACAGTATTATTATTATTGTATTATTATGTTAAAGATGTTTTAGGGTATCTGGAAGTGCTTCTTTAATTTTTTTTACTCATTGAAAGGTACACTATATAGTAAGACAAACATTTGACTGATGTAGATACGAACTGAACCTAACTGTTCTGACTTATGTACAAATTCGACTTAAAGACAGACTTAGGAACGGAACTTGTTCATAATCTAAGGATTGCCTGTATTAAAAATGTTGGATCCACACCTTGAGAATCAAAAAATAATTTTTATTTTAAATATTTTTAAAACACTAAAAGATGATTTTACAAAATATTTCAAAGCACACTGTAAAAAACAAATCTAGAAAAAAAAAAATTAGTAAGGCAGCACAGATGTAAGAGGACCAGATGAGATAAACCATTTATTTTTAAAGGACTTAACAATTTACAATCATATTACAATGAACTAGCTTTGCTAATGGATACATAAATTCTTTTTGTCTAATTTTTTGATAGAACACAGCGAAAATGACTTGGAGAAAATAACAACCACAGATATAGCTAAAATGTGAATGACGCTGGAGGCAGGGCAGACCACACACCATGAAATGTAAACAGAGGAGGAAAAAACTAGATGCCAGACAGGAAGAGAAGAACCAGGAGGGCAGTCTTTACAAATAGAGGTAAATGTAACTAAGACTGAAATAAGAAATCTGATAGGTTTAGAAGGAAAAAAAAAAGAAAAAATTCGAGTAATCAATTATTCCTTAACATGCACATGAGTTCTACAGAACAGATTAAATTTCTCAGGTTTCATTTTAGGACTATTCTCAAACTTACGGAATCTTGCTTTCAATAATAATTAGTGATTTATGTCAGGGCAAGCCATTTCCCTCCAAAAGAAAGAATTTTTTCTCAAATAATTGGCTTAGGTTTACTGTCACTAATTAAACAGTGAATATATCATCTCCCAGCAGTATCTCACATTCTTAGATAAACAACTATATTTGAGTGGCATGGTAAAATTAGCTTAATGGAGTTAGAAGATAAGAGTGGCTTTTAGAGGAGAGAGCATACTATTCTGCACATGTAATACTATTTTGTTTTATAATTATACATTTCAAAAAATATTTCCCAAAGTTTTGTAACTGTCACACAGACTTATTCTGATTTTGGCATTTATTCACAAAAATGTTCTCTCACTGCATTATGCTATGAAGTAAACTAAAAAACAGAACAAAGCAATAATTTACTTCTGAAGTAAAAAACAAACACATTTATGGTTAAAACACATACTAGTTTAAACAGTCTTCTTACAATACTTTGATGAAGGCTATGTCATTTTCAGTTTACTAACATTATCTACATAAAATGGTGCTCTTATTAATACCACTGTGAATTAGATAAGGACAAAAAAATTATAATTAAAAAATTAAAAACTCTGTTCTACATTTAATAATTTGCCTGAATCCAGCCAATTAGATTATAACAAAAGCAGTACCATCCTAAATATGTAAAAATCACAATAGAAAACAAATTAACAGAGTAAGTATTTATAAAATTTCTAATTTGTGATCCAATATAGAAATGATTGAAAATGAAAAGGAAGACAATACATTCATTCATTCAAATAACAAATGCTTATTTGCTGTATGCAAAGCACTATGCTAGATATCTGTAATGGATAGAAAGTAATATAATAAAAAATTCCTGTCCTTAACGGTCTTAAAATTATAAAGGGAGTAAAGACATATGCATAATACAAAACAACAACATAACAAATACATAATAGAAGGCAGTATATGATAAAGTGCCATAAAAGTGATACAAATTGAACAGGGATTTAGAGAAGGAATGGAATGCTAATTTCTAGCATGTATTCAGGAATAAGAAGCCCTGGTAGTGTAATGGTTAAACACTTGGCGAACCCACCAACTGCTCAACAGGAGAAAAGACTTGGTGGTCACAGGGGACAACTCAGTCAGTTGGAATAACACAGGTCATAAAGATAATGTTCTACATCCTAGTTTGGTGAGTAGCATCTGGGGTCTTAAAAGCTTGCAAGTGGCCATCGAAGATACAACTATTGATCTCTTCTCATCTGGAGCAAAGGAGAATAAAGGAAATCAAAGACTCAAGAAGAAAAGAGTCCACAGGACTAATAGCCCACACAAACTACGGCATCTTCTAGCCTGAGACCAGAAGAATTAGATGGTGCCTGGCTACCACTACCAACCAGTTCTGACCAGGGACACAATAGACGGTCACGGATAGAATAGGGGAAAAATGCAGAATAAAACTCAAATTCCTAAAAAAGACCAGACTTACTGGACTGACAGAGACTAGAGGAACTCCAGAGGCTATCGCCCTAAGGTACCCTTTTGACTTACAACTGAAGCCACTCTCAGAGGTCACTTTTCAGCCAAATAATAGATTGGCTTATAAAATAAACAATACCACCTGGGAGGAATGTGCTCCCTTAACCAACCATACGAGACCAATCAGACAACATTTAACCAAAACCAAAGATGAGAAGGCAAGGAGGGGAAGGGAAGCTAGATAAATGGAAATGGAACAAACAGAATGGAAATAACGAGAATGCTGACACATTGAGAAAACTGTAACCAATGTCATGGAACAATCTGTATAAAAAGTGTTAAATGGGAACTTAATTTGCTGTGTAAACTTTCACCTAAAACACAAATATTCAAAAAAAGAAAAGAAAAGACCTGGTGATCTGCTTCCGTAAAGATTACTGCCTTGGAAACCCTATGGGGCAGTTCTACTCTGTCCTACAAGGTCACTATGAATTGGAATTGACGTGAGAGAACACAACAACAACAATCAGGGAATGCTACATGCAGTAAATGATCTGAGTTGGAGGGTAAAAGGAAAGATAGGGTAGAGGATATGATAAGCTGATAAAACGTCATATATAAAAATACAGAACATTAAGCACAAAAGTGTTCTCAAAATTTCCCATGAACACATATTCCCAGGGGCTAGGGAGTGTAGTCCAATGTTCAAGATGTCTTCGAAACTGGCTGTGTACCTTAAAAATATAAAATTTATATTCTACTCCATTACGTATCTGTGCTTGTTTTAATATTAAAAATATAACATTTCCTCTCAAAATTTTCCAGGAAAACTACTACTTCAAGAAGATGGGCCATGATTATCTTGTGCGTACTCCTGAAGGGATCCTAGTAAAAGCAATAGCATAGAATGAAGGGAAGAATGGGAGGGAGACATAGCGGAAATGGAAGTTTTGGTCAAAAAGCAGAAGGTCTTTAATCAGCCAGGCTAGAGTTGTTAAAACCTCATTCAGAGGACAGTGGGGAAACATGAAAAATAGTTTTTGAATTGGGGACTTCTTCAGCAAGATACAAAGGATGAATATATGCATTCAGCAAATATTTTGGGGTAACTACTGGAACCCTGGTGTTGCAGTGGGGTTAAGTGCTTGGCTGCTAACCGAAAGGTTGGTGGTTCGAACCCACAAACCGCTCCATGGAGAAAGATGTGGTAGTAGGCTCCTGTAAAGATTTACAGCCTTGGAAACCCTCTGGGGCAGTTCTACTCTGCCCTAAAGGGTCACTATGAGACAGATTTGACTCGATGGCAATGGGTTTACTATATGCTACAGTGACCTGGTGGCGCAGTAGCTAAGCTTTCCGGCTGCTAACCGAAAGGCTGGTGCTTCGACAAAGGCTGGTGCTTCGAACCCACCAGATGCTCCATAGGAGAAAGAGGCGACAGTCTGCTTCTGTAAAGATTACAGCCTTGGAAACCATATGAGCAGTTCTGCTTTGTCCTATCAGGTCACTATGAGTCGGAATTGACTTGATGTTAATGGGTTTTTGGGTTTACTATGTGCTGGTACTCATTTAGCTGATGAGGAACTGAACAAGAGAGGCAAAAATTCCTGCCTATATTATGGACCTTACATTCCAGAATGGGAAAATAAGCAACAAATAAGTTTAAAGATGCCATGAGACCAGACAGGAAGAGATCACACACAGAGGAGTAGTAATTGTAAAGGAAAGGAAGAGATGACCACAAATGACAGAAGAATTTTGATTATGTTTGGGTAACTTAGAAGATAGCAGCACCAGTAAGAGAAATAAAGGAATTAGGAGAATGGCTCTATAGAGGGAGAATGGGCAATAAAGGGCTATTTCAGATTGGCAGGCTCAAAGGTGCCAGCAGACTTAACAGATGGAAATCCAGGACTCCAGAAGGTCAGGTCTAGGGATACAGACTTGCTGATAGCCTGCAGGCAGGTAGTAGTGGAAGCTTCATGAGGGCAAAAGAGAAAAGCAAAGGGCAGAAGACAGAGCCTTGGATAAATATCCACAAGGAATAAAAATAAATAAATAAAATAACCAGAGAAGAAAGAATCTAAGAAAAATATAAGAAAAACCTAGGTAATAAGGGAGTAACGGAGAGACTTTGCAAAAGACGTATCTGTGTGCGTGTGTGTCTTTTTCTCCTTACCTGTTCATTCTTTTTCTGAACCCATTCCTTATGCTTTTCTTCAGCAATTATTTTTCTTTTTTCATGTTCTTCCTTTTTTTTTCTTTTTTCTAGTTGTTGATTTAATTCCTGTAGATTTTATTTAAAGAAAAAGCAACATTTAATAGCAAGTACTCACATCACATATTTTCAAAAGGCTGAGGTTAACCAAATTAAACAAGAATATAATTTTTTTCATAGAAAACATACCACTAGTGACACTAACTTACTTAAGTAACTAGTCCATGATGAGAAAAAGCATTGGTAAAAAGTATAAGTCATTTTTCAGAAATGCAAATAATTGCTTGGCAGCAAAACACTAGTTTCTTAGACTAAACTTCAGCTAAATTACCCTCATTGAAATCAACTTTCCCACACATAAATTTTGGCATCACTGTAAAGGTACTGGCAAAAACTCAAGAGAATTGTAACTTTTTTTTTTAACAGTTATAAAAGCTTCTAGATTCTTGATGAAGATAAAGGACAGGAATTAAATAATCCCTAAATTAAAATTTTAATTCAAAGTTATACCAAATAAGAAATGTAAAGATGTCATTCGATTTTCCTTAGGGAAATAAATAATGTAGATTTTTTTTTCATTGGTTTGATAGCTGCTGAAGTGTAAAACAAAACCACATTCATATCCCAGATTATTTAACTGCCTTGCTGTCACTCGAATCTACACGTTTGGGCATTTCCTCAGGAAAAAGAATGTGGAAGGTATGGCCAAATAAAACTGTAAGCTGAATGCCACCACTCTGTCACTCATCAGTTAAATTACTGCATTAGTTGAGAATGCTATTCAAACTAGACTTCTAGCACTGTACTATCATAATTACTGGTAATTTTTCTTGTCTCTCCTTAGATACTAACAACCAGATACTTTTACATATCTTCCATTGGTTCCCACTTCTCCCTTTCTAAGACCTACCTACCTGGGGATGGGTGGTAGTAGGAAGGATGTTTTTTCAACTTTCAGACAAATGAAGATAAACTCTACACCAAGAATATATCTTTGCACTTTAGAACAACTGGGCCCAGGACACCTGCCTCCCATGACCTCTCATCCTAAAATTCTGCTGCATAGAAAATAGCTGCCTTGACTCTGAAAAGTCCTCCAACTCTTGAACACGACTCCAACAAGCAAAATACCCATCTTGAGTTTAAGGATTCTTTACTACCTCTGCATATGCTGTTTCTTCATTACTCACTCAATATATGTTTATGGAGTGCCTGCTAAGGAGCTAACAAGAACTGAGATGTAAAGATGAACCTCCAGAAGTCTCTGATCTAATCTGATCTTATATACACCAAAAAATTAAGTGCCATATTGTGAGGTATTGTCTATAACAGGAGTTGAGAGAAGGGAAGGGAAAGGAAGAGAATACACAGCATGGTCCAGGGTAGTCAGAAATGAGCAAACACCATCAAAGGAGCAGTAAGGAGATGGCCTGACTAGAAGGAAGAGATCGGGGGAGATGGGTAGTAAAAAATTAGAGTGTGGTACTAACTAAATGGAAAAAAGTCTTCTGAGACAGGCAAAGTAAATTGAACATTATGAAGCAGGAATACATAGCAAAAGGGATGATTTAGAGCTCTTAATGGTAAAACTTGAAGACCGCATTTGAGGAGATTAGAACTATTTTGACAGAGACTGACAAGTAAATTGCCACAGTATATGAGTTGTGAGGGGAAGACGGTCTAGACTTGTGTTGGGTAACAAAGAAGGGGGAAATGTGTGTGTGTGTGTATCTGTGTGTGTATACACACACATATTATATATACACATACATAAATACATCAAAATAAAAAATAAGACTTTGTAACAGGCTAGATCTAGATCTGACAACTATGTATCTAAAATTTTCCAAAACAGTCCTGAACTCATGTAATTTTTACATTACTCATGTAATTATTTAAATATACAATTATAAAGATATCATTGATTAAATCTATGTATCTTTTTAAGACTCTTAATATAAATAAACTCAAAATTCAGAAAAAAAAAAAAAAAAACAGACTTTGTGTTCCTATTTTGTGGTTGATGCTGATATATGAGTTTTAAGGAAGGAAATCTCAAAACGTGCCTAGAAGATACTACCACTAACCCAAACAGTGCTCTAAGCTCAGGAAATCTGTTCAAGTAATTTGCCAATTCAGAATACACATCACATTCTGAGCCCCGAACCTCCCATCCAAGGCTGGCCCCTCTTAGAATTTCCCACTCTGAATGACTCCATCTGTTCACCACCAAGGGAAGCCTCTTCCAGGACACAGCTGGAGTCTTCTCTCACAAGACCCCACATCATCTTCTGGTACACCACTAGATTTCAACAGGATTATAGCTATTTTCCCATACAGTAAACACTTTATTAGGCATAACCAAAATTCACTGAGGATCTTAAACAAGTATTTTTGCCCACTTTCAAAGAATTTTTTGCCACTGAAGGAAACAATTGGAAAAACTGACAGTTTTGTGTTCATCAACTCCATAGCCTGCCCTTTCCCTCAATAAGTGCTGCTGAATGAAATGGCCAAAAGCAAGATGGTAAAAAAAAAAAAAAAAGAAAGAAAGAAAAAGCACCTAGATAATTTTTATAATTTAGAACAAACTGTACTAAAATGTTAAAGCAAATGTTAAAAATGAGAATTAGTCAAAGGTCATAGAGAATTTATGGCAGTCTGCTAACGAATTTTAAAAAAATAAGTAAAAATGTAAATAAAATTTAAAAAGGCTAGAAAACCAATACTATCGTTTTTCATAACACTAATGTTCAACGTTTACCACATGTATCATCTGAACAATAGTTATAAATGCAAAACATTTTGTAAGTGGATAATTTTGATAGGTTAAAATAATTTTTTCACTCAATCCCACAGAGAGATTTGAAACAAATCTAGATGTCTTACTGGAATCAAGTATATGAGTGCTGAGGGTATTTTTAATGACCCAACTTCATTTAAATTTTATCCTTTAAATTTTAAAGGCAGAAAATAAAAAAGACAGAATAAGTTAAATAATACTAAGTCTGACCCATTTATTTCTAAAATACATCTCGGTACCCTGAAGAAAGCACTTAAATTGGAAGCTAAAAATAGGGCTACAACGCCATCAACATCACTAATTAAAATCTTGGTAAAGTTCCTTCTTTGGCCCTTGTGCTTTTTATCTTTAATAGGGATCTGACATAAATTGTTCTTATGGTTAAAAATCTGTGCTTTTAATGATACGATTTGTAAACAAAGGAAATACTGTAAATAAGGACAAAAAATATAAGAATGACTTAGAAAACGAAACAGAGAAAAGCATGAAAAGAATGTAAATATCACAACAGCCAAAGGTGAGCTTACAATAAATTGAATAGTTGGCCTATATGTTATGATGTCCCTGGAATAATTTGTATAAGATTTGTGCTAAAATATTTTAATCGATTCAGAGTTAATAAGGAAGAAGCCATAAGAAATGTCAAGCTACTAACTACATGAAAAGGTTTCCATCTCTCAACCAAATTACAAATAATTTATACCTTGCTATGTGCTCAATCATTGTGGTAGGGACTTTATATTCATTATTTTAATCTGTTCTCAAACAGATCTCCATGGTAGCTATTATTATCTCCTTTTTATACATAATAATAACTAACTTCTATTGAGTGCTCCTATATTCTAGGCCATATCCTGATGTTCATTTAGTCCTTGTAACAACAACACGATGAGGTTAAGTATTATTCTCTCCCTTTTACTGATGAAGAAATCAAAGCACAGAGAGGTTAAGGATTTGCCCAAGGTCCAAGTTTTGAACTCAGGAAATATGGCTCAAGAATTTTGTAGTTTTAACCACTCCACTATTGCCTCTCTATCATCTGGCTTATAGATGAAGAAACTGAGGCTAAGAGAAGTTAAAAAAAAACCTTCCCAAGGTTACAGAGTTAAAATTTCAGTGCAGTCCTGTAATTTAATTCTTTCTTTGTATATTGACTCTAAAATTGACTTGAAGTGATCCTCCATTTTTTAAATATAAAAAGTGACTACTAGCATGGCCAGACATAAAGCAAAATACCATAAACTGAATTCTACTTTTCCACTGACTCACTACACCTACACACTGGTGTTTTCCAAATTGTGAGTCTAAAATCAATTTAATGGCTTATGACTAGCCTCATAAAAAAAAAAAAAAAAGAATGCAGCATTAGTATATTGCACACAGTTAAAATATTATTTCAGATAAGTATGTGTGTGTATATATATGCTTGTACGTAACACAAAGCAGATTTCTCACTGTAAGCAAATATTTTGAAAGCCACTGCACTAAATTATGTAATTTGTAATGGTAACACTGAGGTTGAGGTAAGAGAAGAGAGTCTGGATGGAGTCCCAATAATATAAACTAATTCTGAAAATAAATGAAAAGGCTTTAAGAAGGCCATGAATAACAATGATATAAAAGTACTGATAAAATCAAAACCTGCCATCTTTATACTTTGTCTCATTTAATCCTCAGAAAATTTCCTGTGACAAAGGTATTATGTTATCCCTCTAGTACACAGGATGAAATTGAAGTTTAAAAGTTTAAGTAACTTGCCTAAAGTCACCCAGCAAATAACAAGTTTGGAACTAGAGCGTTTATTAAGCCTGCCTGACACCAAACATTGCTCAAACCCTGTGCCCTTCTAAGAGAAAACAAGTGCTTCTCTCACAGTGTATTTTTCCAGGAATAAACTCATAAACTAGAAAACAAAGTATTATATAATAGGAAAATGGCATAATGCACTGGTTTCTACAATCATCTGAATCAGGCCAAGCCTCCTAAACATGAAACTGCTTACCTCATTAGATACCCATTACAGAAATAAACAACTAGTTTCAAAAGTGATACAGGAAATTTATTCCATGGAATGTTAAGGATATGGGCAAAACTTTAGTTCCAAGGATTTTTATGGCAATATGGTTACTAATAGTTGAGAATAAGCTTAAATATACACCAACAATGAACTAAGTATATTTTAATATATGTATTTAATACATTTAAAGTATATTTTAATAAAATATTAGACAGCCATTTAAAATGATGATGCAAAAATATTCAATGATATGGAAATATAATAACAATGTAACAGGCAGAAAAAAGAAGGTTACAAAAGAGTTTCATTCTATTTCATTAAAAACAACAAGTATTCACAATCCAAATCTATTTGGTTCCTGTGTTTGGATAAGGAGAACTCAAGAGAGAGAGTTTGGATAATGAGGAACACCAAATTATCTAAATCTATTTGGCTGCTAGGTAGTAGACAGCAAATAGTAAGAGTTTGAAGCATGAGGGATTCATGTGAAAATGTATCTAGAGTTATTTGTTTTTTGTTTGGTTAGTGAGAGTGCTGATAGTGATGGATAGCAACCCCACCCCGCAACACACATACACACACTCATTGAACCCGAAAAAAAAAAAACACTGCCATTGAGTCGATTCTGACTCATAGCAACCCTACAGGACAGAGGAAAACTGCCCCACAGGGTTTCCAAGAAGAGCCTGGTGGATTCGAACTGCCAGCCTTTTGGTTAGCAGCCATAGCTCTTAACCACTATGCCACCAGGGTGTCCACATACACATACACACACACAAACACACAAAGTCATTTGGGGAAGTTGCATCCTACACAGGGGTTAGGTTTTCAAGTCAGTGCATGAGTCAAAAATCGTCTATAGTCAAAATTATGGGTGAAAAATGTATTAGACCTCTTCCCTAAAGTTGTTTCAGTTGAGCTCCAGATGAAGTAGTTGACTTATGTTTCAGACTCATATTACATGCACACACACACAATACATATGTTTATACACTGGAATCACACGCAGAGAAACATCTATAAGCCAGGCAGGGAGTCAGACAAAAATGGAAACACCCTGAAAGACCAACAGATTCCCATCTCCCAGCAGGTATTCATTCTAGGGAACATGCTCTCTGAGTGATGAGGAGGTAGATTCCTATGTCTATTTCAATTTTTGTCTCTCTCTTTCCTTAAAATTTTTACTGAGTGTATACAGTTAAATTTCACCTTGTAAAATGTCATTTCCTGATTTTGACTTAGCCTTAGTTAAATGTACATATGATCAAGCTCCATTGTTAAGTGTCTGTGTGCATACATTTCTACATATATACGTTTTTAAAATTTACATGGAAGAAAATCTGGAAGGCTATACCTCATAATATTAACAGTGATTACCTTCAGATGGTAAGATTAAAGGAAATTTAAATTTTCTTAATTATGCTTATCTATATTTTCCAAATGCTCTTACAGTGAATACATACTACTTTTATAATAACAGAGTTATTAAAATTGATGTAGTAAACTGATAGAGCTAATGCAAAAACTTTGTTTTGGGAGGCGTTAACATTTTAATTTCAAGAGCAGCTCTACTTTGTGAGCTCCCAGATTAAATAAAAAGAAAACCGTCTAGTTTTACCTCTAGAGCTTTCTGTTGTAGACGGTCACGTTCTTCTTTTTCCTTGCCAACAAACCACACTTCCCATGGTGTCAGGCTGCCTTCTGGTAAGCGCACCTGTTTCTGTTCTTCTTGGGTATCTTCTGATTCAACCTCACTAGTACAGAGAGCATAGTGTAGCATTGTACATAAAACTCTTTGGCTTACTAGTCAAAATCACTTCGCTGTACAGTGTAAGCAGTAATTATGTATTTAGTGCTGTGATTTATAATATTGTGATTTATACGTAAATGTATGTAAATTATATGTAAATACATATATGTATATGAAACATCATGAAAAGGAAGACCAATATTTAATTTATCCATCAAACTGCCTTTGAATATCTTCCTTTCCTAAAACCACATTATTTAAAAATCCACTCAGATAACCCACACCCAGTCCATTAAACTCAGTGCCAACACTCTTTTTCCTTTAAAATCTTATATCTGGACAACTATTACAATGCAGAGTCCCTGGGTGGTGTAAACGTCAGCTGCTAAGTGAAAGGTTGGCGGTTCAAGTCCACTCAGAGGCACCTCAGAAGATAGGCCTGGTGATCTACTTCTGAAAAATCAGCCATTAAAAACCCTATGGTTTTAAAAACCCTACTCTGACACACATAGGGTAGCTATGAATCAGAATCAAGTCGTCAGCAACTGGACTGGAATTAAAATGTATGATCCTAATCAGATCCTGGAGCAGACCTCCCTTCCTCTCCCATTCCCTTCTTCCTTTTTAGGACATTATTGGGCAAATGGCAAAGTTTGAATAATGTATGGGGATTAGGTAACAGTACTGTAACAATGTTTTTTTCTGATTTTGATAATTATACTGCAGTTATGTAGAATACACACTGAAATATTTAGAAATAAAGCGGCATCATGTCTGCAACTTATTCTTAAACGATTCAGGAAAAAAAGAACATGTATATACAAAGAGATTTATAAAGCAAATCTGTTAATAACTGGGGAGGCCCTGGTGGTGCAGTGGTTAAGAGCTACGGCTGCTAACCAAAAGGTCGGCAGTTCGAATCCACCAGGCTCTTTTTGGAAACCCTATGGGGCAGTTCTACTCTGTCCTGTAGGGTCGCTATGAGTTGAAATCGACTCGACAGCAACGGGTTTGGCTTGTTTTTTGTTTTTTTTTTGGGTAATGCATGAACAAAAGGATACTCTCTTTTCAACTTTCCTGTAAGTCTGAAATTGTTTTGAAAGTTAGCAGAAATGAAAATAAAATGACCCTTCTCAAACATTTCAATTGACTCCCTTTCACCAGATTTTTTTTTAGGCTGGTTATGTCCTACCATAGCCTCCATCTCCACCATGCACCTTCTGTCAGTCTGTCTTTTCTGGGTGTAAGGAAAATTAACTACAGACTCAAGCTAAAGAGAAGAGGGGAAGCGAAAGGTACCATAAGTATATGTAAATAAAGAACACAGGGACTTGGCCAGATACACAAGCCTCACAATACTCAGGGAAAGCTCAAAAATCAGCACCCATGGAAAGAAAAGTTATTCAGGACCCAAGGCAGCTTTAGAGACTATTGTTACTAGTCTCTTTAACACTTCTACTTCTGGCAACTAATTGCCTCGCCTGCTGCTAAGCACAACTTTTCTCTACCTCATAGCTTGAGCTTACTCATTTTTTTTTTTGCTGCTGTATTTCTTCATTCATCCATACCCTCATGGAATTGTATTCTAGTGAGAGACACTGTTGATGTGTTATTTCTTAGACATGTCTTTCCGTTTCGGTCTTGCGAATGACCTCACTGCTCTATAGTTTCAACTATTACTACATGCTGATGATACCTAGAACAGTAATTCCAAGCTGGACTTTTCTCCTGAGCTCCAGATCTTTATTTCCAACCACCTGAGAGACAGCTCCACTTAGATATCAAACTCAGTCCAAAACACGAATAATCATCTTCCACCACCCACTTACCACTTGTTCCCCCCCCAAAAAATTTTGTTCCTCCTCTTATAATCCTACCTCAGTGATAGTTTCACCCATCCACCATTTACCTGAGCCAGAAACCAGGCAGATCTTTAACACCTCTTGCTCCCCTTCCACACCTGGTCCCTCTTACTTCCCACACCCATATAGTCATCTAGTCATGTCAGTTCCACTTCCTTCAGTTCTCTCAAGCCAATCTCTGGTTCTCGTTGGCTTCCTGAGTTGCTGTCCCAGTTGGTCCTGACTTTTGACACTCTGTGCACAACAGAGCAAAAAACTGCCTGATCCTGCGCCATCCCCAAAATCTGTGGCAGATCAGACCCTTGTGATCCATAGGTTTTCATGGCTGATTTTTGGAAGTAGATTGCCAGGCCCTTCTTTCTAATCTTAGTCTGGAAGTTCTGCTAAAAACCCGTTCATCATGACAACACACAAGCCTCCACTCACAGACCAGATGGGTGGTGCCTGTGCATGAGGTGCATTGGCCAGGAATCAAACTCAGAATTCCCACATGGAAGGCGAGAATTCTACTACTGAACCTCTCTAGGAGGTTGCATTCATTCAGATATTTGAGCACCTAATATACATCTGACATTTGCCACACACACTGCCTGACAAATCCTGCATTTTCTTTCCAGACCCATAGCCCACCAATCCCTTTGATTGATAGGGACTGAACTGTCATTTAATAAAAAAAGGTAGCCTTAGCCAACCCCCCCCACCCGCCCCACACAAACACAACCCTCCCAGTGTGATCAGCTCATTCAGTATCTGGATAACGTGAAACATGTCTGGCTCCTTCCCTGGTGGGCTCCGTTTGGTCAGGGCTTTGGCTCTTAGGTGATGCAAGGTCTCAGTAGCTGAGCTGTAGTACTGATGGACATTCACTCCTTCACATTACTCAATTCTGTTGTTTATACTTGGAAGGTATTTTCCAAAACCTTAAAAAACGTATTTAAAAAAACTCTGGTACCAACTCAGCCCTGAAGAATCCCTGTATACACCCAGGTGGAAATGGACTCCTGAAACTCTAACATTAAGTTCTACTATCAGGTTGATGGAGATGGCCAGTCTGGAGAACTGATTTGCTTGGTTACTCTTTCTGATCTCCGTTCCAACCACGTACTTACTTTTACTTCTCATCCTTAAAGAGACTCACTCTTGTAACCTTGTGTATGGCTCACTTCACATGGTTCCATATTCCATTCACTCACACTGGGTGTAAATGACTTATGCTCAAGGGAACTATCTTGATACTTATACATTAAACATGTGTTCTCTGGTCTTTCTCAGATCTCCCGTACTGTGCTTTGTACAGTTTGACAATTAAAACCAAAGAAAAACCCATTACAGCCTAGTCGATTTTGACTCATAGCGACCCTCCAGGACAGGGTAAAACTGCCCCATAGGTTTTCCAAGGAGCGGCTAACTGCTGACCTTTTGGTTAGCAGCCAAGCTCTTAGCCACAATTAGGAACTTACATTTCCTGAAGATGATGTAATGAGTCCACCCCAGAATGGACCTGCATTACTCAGGCCTGTCTCAGAAAAAGAAATTTCTGCAGGGTTAGGCCCTTTGCTCCTATTTCTATATATCCACTAACAGTCATGTAGTACAAGGAAGAGAGAACATATTGGTGCACTTTGGTACTAGCCCCAGCTAGATTAATAATGAGGTGTATGGTTTTGGATCAGACTTTTTATTTGTATTCTGAATTGTAGTTTTCTTATTTGTAAAATGAGTAGATTGATCTAGGATTTAATTCCATAAGGGTAGAGATTATTTCTATCTTATTTACAGTCCCAAATACTAGACTAGTATGTGGCACAAAATAAATGCTTGCTGAATGAATTGCAGAAATAAACAATTTAAGATGGCTGTAATAATCCCTTTGGTTCTAACATTTTTTGATTGAATGACTTCTATCCCACTGTAAGGAAGTGTTCAGACAAGACCCAACGCTGGCTCTGGATGCTGAGGTTGACATCTCTAACCTCTGTGCTTCGGCTCTTCTATGATTAAGCTCTTTGTCTTTGACTAATGTACTGTTTACTACATCTACATTACTAGAAATGGGTAGATTTTTCAAAATAACCACACGTAATACTAAGGTACAGTAAACCACATTCTGACATTAAGTGTCTGAACAAGAGTTTGGGAGTCCACTATCTGGCTTTTGAGGGTTCATAAAACTCCTTAAATAGTAGCAATTTTGTGGAGAGCGAGATTGTAACAATCATCATATCCTCAGGAAAAAGGATTAAGAATCACAGAAGACATGTTGTTAATTGAAAGCTGATCCAGGACTTTGCTGCTTACGCATCATAAAGAAACCCCAAACTCTTTAAGCGCAAAAAAGGGAGAAGGACCGCCTTTGAAGCAGAAAACAGGCGTGTGTTTGGCCGGCAGAGGAAGGTACTTAGAGGGTCTAAGGTATCTTGAGAATGGCTGTATCGGCCGGGCGGCCTCGGGTTTACCTGGAGCACCCCTGTAACTCCATTCCTTTCAGGCTCGCCACCTTGGCCTCTGAGTCATGGTCATCTTCGTCTACGTCTTCCTCATCCTCCTCGTCACCGTCATCCTCGTCAAACGGGAAGCTCTGGTGGCCGAGGGGAGACAACAGCGACATGGTGGAATTGCTGCAGCTCGGCGGCGGCGACGGAGAGCACAAAGACACCGTCACCACCTCCAGCCCCTGCCCCCGCGCGCCCGCCATGAAGACGGAGAAAGAGCCTGAGGAACGCCGAGACCTGGGCCTACAGTCTGCCGGAAACCAGGTGTGAGGAGACACAGAAGTAACCCCCGGACGCCCGACCGCCCACATCTGCCCCGCCAAGTTCAAACCAGCGGAGTCGCGGCGGACACGTGTTCTCCCAGCAGACCCTGCGAGCGCTGGGTCCGGCCAATCCAGGCCGGCACGCTCCCCGCGTTGCCTTGGCGACGCGTGGAGGCCGGGAGGGCTTTGTCCCGGCCTGCTTAGCGTGGTTTCCTCCACTCGGCTTCGCGTCTTGGGTACTCTGCCGGCTCTTCTTCCTGAGTCTTGAAGGTGCCTGCTGCTTGCGAGCTTGTCTAACTCGGTGCTTCTCTCACCGGCGCCGTCCGGCTCTCGGTTTGCAACTTTGAGGGCCCGTTCTCTTGCTTACTGTGGCGTTGAAAGATCATTTGGTGCATTAAAACTGCTCTAAGAAAGGCTTTTAAATGGAACGAGGCGGAAGCCTAATCTGCCTATAGTCTTGAAAGACCAGGGCTATAGGCATCAGTCGTAATTTTATTCAGCACACGGCCATATTTCATGTGGGGGAGGGAGTGAACTTTAAGTATCCAAGAATGCACTTGGGGGGCAAGCTTTTATTGTTTTTGATAGTATCTCATTTGCCAGGGATCTAGTTTCTTCATGCGTGTGAATTTTTTGGCCTCTAATGTGTGCTAGGTCTTGTACTAACCACAGGGGATAAATAACAGCCCTGCCCTTACTCCCGAGGTCCTCATTGTTTTGTGGTGAAGAAACATATTGTTAAAATATGCTGTGATAAGCGTTTTATGAAGGAAGAAAAAATTTTGTGGGCCCATAGAAGGCCCACTCTTAGTGATTGGGAATGGGGTCGAGGGTGGCTTTGGAGAGGTGATGGACAATAAAGCTGAAAGCTTCTTCATGCTACTGCTGACAAAACTGCATACACTTGTAAATAAATACTGTTTTTGTCTCCATTCATAATGCATATTATTGGTAAAAATACACAAAGTGAAAACTCATAATGGCTAAAACAGCACACAGCAAAATTTGTTATTGACCAAAAGTGACAGCAAAATCTTCGACAAAATTTAGATCTGCAAAATTTGACACAATTAGATGCAGTAGAAATAATATCAACTAAGGACAATTGATTATCTTATAGGATCATCTCATACAGGGTCTCTGTGAATCAGAATCCACTCGAGGGCAATGGGTTTGCTTTTTGGTTTAGGGCAATTCAGAATGCAGACGCTATACTTTTAACATACATGGTCAAAACTAGGTGGAAAATTTGTTAAAAATTTCATTAAAAGGAAAATGGAAGAAAACTGAAGCAATTTAACTGAGTCATAAAGAAAATCTGTCGAGGAATAAAATTCGCTTAATGGAGTAGGCATACTGTATCCCAGTTATTCAATATTGACCTGTCTCTGGTGAAATCCTATTGTCAGAACATTTCTAGAATCAAAACAACAGCATCAAAAGGCACTGGGCCCCTTTAGGGCTTCATAAAGGAGGTAACCTTGAAAAGCTATTTCCCAATAGATAAAACCTACATAACTGTAGTGGGAAAAACAGGTTTTAGTATAAAAAAGGACCCGGACTTGAATCAATGGGTTTCCTCTTACTACGTCCTTAAACAAGCTGTTTGACCTTTCCAAGTCCTATTTCACTACTTTGTAAAACAGGGAAACAATCAACGTCACAGTCGTATCTCATTGATTACTCCTCAAAGCGTCTAGCACAGGACCTAACGGATAAATGGTAAATTATGTCACTTAAACACCAAAATGTTTCTACTTTAACCTTTTGGTATGGGAATCTAAAAAGTCATATACTTCTTTGCCTCCTTAAAACATTTTACTAAACAAAGTATAACCTTTCCTTGATGCTTCAGGGTCATCATTACGATCAACGATTGCATTATGCTGTAGCAACACTGGAGCCCCAAAGGCTAAGAGGCAAAGAGCCGAATAGTGCTGGTTCCTGAATGTAATCGAGTCCTGTGGTCTCCTTTCTTAAGGTGCCTTTTCATTACTGGAGCTGAGAAGCCATAATCAAGCTTAGTAGAATTATATATAAATATATAAGTAAGCTCAAAAGACAGCCTCTCCCTTGAAGGTTTAAAGCATTGACTTAGTAACATCTCTCTTTACTAATCATTTATTTTCGCTTTGATGGTATATTTAATTGATATTTCTTGCTAGCTCTGTAACCTGTGTAAGAGTGACTTTTGCTTAAAAATTCACATCTATAAGCTTCTGACTTTGTTGCAAAAATAATGCCATCACCAGTCAGCCCTGTAGCAATGTATTATGCAACTTTAAGAAATTTATCTTGGGACATATTGAAGTATTTACAGATGAAACGCTATTATGTCTTATATTTGCTTCAAAATAATCCAAGGGGCACTGGAGGAAGTAACTGAGTAGGATAAAGATAAAACAAGGCTGACCATGTGCTATTGATAAATGTCAAAGTCAAGTGATGGGTACATGGTGTTATGGAAATTTCTAACATATACTGAGGTTAAACAACAAACCTATGTTCAGAATTAAGAGGTCTTGGGTTCTGATTTGCTATGTGATTCAGGTATTCAATTAAATTTCATTAAGCCCTCTATTTCCTCATTTTTTAAATGAGGGCTTTGGGATCATGAATACTGAGGTATTTGTGGGCAACAGAGAACATTTAGTATCATGCAGATTTTTTGATTATTGGCTTTTAATAAAAGAACTAATGGATGGTATTCTCTTAAATTTCACAATCTGTTTTCCATGGGAATGGTTCAGGCTTAAGGTAGGACAGTTACTTGTAAATTTCAGCAAAATGTTCTTAAATATGTATAGGTAAGTATCAAAATAGTGTTTTTTAACGGTTACTTCCAACATAATTGTGAATACTTTTTACTTTATTATGAAAATTATTAGTAATTCTACTTTAATTTTATTACTTTAGCACTAAATAAATTCATTATTGTACCTAGTTTTAAATTAAGGCAAAACAGATTGCTTACTAGAAACTTTGATAATTTCGAACACTGAGTACAGTATTACATTTCATACCATATTTATAGCAGTTTACCAAATATTTTATATATCTGCTATTCTAGTTTTTAAATGAATGAAGTAAAGAGTTTTTAGTAATTTGAATTTTGAAAAAACAGGAAAAAAAACCAACTTTTTCCTACGATATTTTTACCAAGTGATGATTTAATATTTGTCAGATGTGTAAATATACAAACATGATAGCAATGTTTAAAACCTGTGAATAGTTGGCCTTACAAAATTACAACACACTGTAAATAACTCCCTCCCATATTTTGTACAAACTACATGATTTTGATATACAAAGATTCTGTTTTTATTACACTGACAATGTACAACCAAGACTATTTACAATGCAAAAAAAGTATATAAACCACAATTTAACATTCTGCTACTGGCAGCCACTATTGCTTAGGAGGTAGCTTTAATTAAACAAAATAAACAGAAGCCACATTTCCCAACTTGTGTTCTAAAAATAATTTACATAAGATAAAAATTCATTATATGCACAGTATATACAGTTTAATTATTAAGCTGCAATCTAGCTTAACGTTTTTTAGTATATCCAGAATAACTAATATGGCAGTGGGTTTGCTATGGATTTAGCATATTGTTCAAAAAACATACTGAACACATTTATAACTTTAAGACTCCATAGTGACATGCCGAAAGTCCATACATGAGAATCAAGTACAATTTTATTTTTTAAAAAAACATAGGACTAAGCTTTATTTCTATTTTTTTGTTTTTCTTAATGATATATTTGTCTTATCTTACCAAAGCTCAGCATCTGAGCTGTTGAATAGGCTCTTTTGTAATCACAGTAAGGGGAAAATGTATGGAAGCTTCCATGTAATAGCACAGGTTCAGAAAAACCCAACTAAGAAATAAGTGTAAATGCTTTCATTATTACTCCCAATGGTTTCCAATTAAATGCAATTATTTACTACAGTCTACTTTCTATTTAATTCAAGCTATAAATAGATACCATACCAACAGAACTGGAAAATTCTTCCAATGATATTAGGTGGTATTTATTAATGGGAACATTACACGGAGCCATCAGATCCTTCAGATCCTATTAAAAACCCCATATTAGTTGGCAGTTTAGCCAAATCTACAAAACCCACGTGGCAATTAGCCCTTTACTTTTTCCTAGTAGTATGATCACAAACACTGAGGAAAAAAATTACTGTGATTGCACCAAAGCAATGTTTAATGACTGAAAACAAATGTTCAGCTATTTTACTGTTTTTATCTAACAGCTGTTAATATTGTTTTAAAAACACCTTAAGGTTTTAGATTTATAAATCACTTAAGCAAAATTTATGATTCTATCACGTCAAAGATGGAAACAGAAAACACAATAAAGTAATGCCTATGTATACTCTCACAGTTCTACCTGGGAGACAATCCCTTTTTTGGCCCTGCAGTAAGTTGTCCTGAGATTAATACACTAAAAAACATTAGTTAGTGATAATATACTAAAAAACGTTAAAATTAGCAAGATTTTTTTCTTCAGGTATATAAAAATCACATTTCAAAATAATTAAAAAAAATATTAACAGCTGTTCTTTTATTTTGTGCTTAATTCAGAATTAGGTATAAATTTGCTTATGGATCAGAGAACACTAACATTATATTGCTACTCTACCTAAAATCCTTTTCAAGTTAAAAATTTGTTTCAAATAAACCACACATTGCTTGGATGTTTTTGTTTTTTAACCAATTTATAACTTAGGCACCTGTTCTTTGAAAATGTATGGTTTGAGACGTATACTACCACCTTCCCCTTCTTCTAAGTGACCCCAGGCAGTGATTACAGAAGTGCTTTCCACATGAAAGATCAGAATAAGGCTGACTCTATAAACACTGTGATTTTTGTTGGTGGGGGAAACAGTTTACAGACACATTAATTCAGTCTTTAACTCTAGGTAGATTGTAAGCGTAGCGCACCAAAGGGAATCCTCGACTCTGATAGAAGCAGGCTCGTCCACAGGCCTGCACCTGGTCAGAACTGTCCGAGACAAAAGAATCTTCCTCATCTGCATAATCAGAGTGGGCAGACTGCGTGCCACAGTCGGACCAATAGCCATCTGCTCTTTGACAAGAAGCCACTGCCAATGCAGGACAGCTGTGAGATTTTATTAAGTGTTTGCATGATATTGGCTTTGTCAAAAGAAACGATTCGCAGCAGTCACACACAGTCAAGTTCCCCTGCAAATGTGAGTACATGCCACAGTCATAGTAGAAATCCTGTTCCACACAGCCACCTTGGCGACTGATGGAAACGGAAACCGATCCACTTTTCTTGGTAATACGTCGCCTCAGTAACTTCCAGTCTTCTTTAAACTTTGGGTTGAAGAAAACATACAGGACTGGATTCAGGCAAGCAGGCAACGGGAAAAATATCAGAGTAACAGACTTCATTATTTCAGGGCTGATAGAGATTGCAGTGATCAATGGCGCAAATGAGAAAAATGCAACGGGGCAGAAAAAGATGCAATTGGTGAATATTAACCAAGCAACATGCTTAATCATGCTAGACTGTGAGTTCTCTGACAGGTCCTCTTTTTCCAAGTTGCAGTAAAGTTTAGTGTAGATAATGGCCATTAATAAAAATGCTAGGGAATTTAAAAGCACTAAGGTAACAGTAAATCCCAAGGATGGTGTTTCCCCTGTGGGAAATGGCAAACACAGGGGCGATGCAGAATATTCCCCTCTATGGAAAAGGGGGAAACAGCCTGCTACTGCAGCACTCAGGAAAGCAAAAAAAGCAGCACCCCGGAATTGTTTGAGGGGACTGCTTTTCCCATTTTTCATTACCGATAAGCTCCTTTCAATGGCCGCTAATGTTAATAAAAATATGGCACTTTCTGAGGAGAAAACTGCAAGAAACCCAGCTACTTTGCAGCCACTGCCAGTCTCCCACCAAATGCCAAAGTCAGCAAATCTGCCCCAGGACACAGCATCCAGAAAAGTCAAGATGCCGGTATAGACTCCCATGAATAAGTTAGACACAGAAATCAGGCCTATGAACAATTTGGAGGAAGGCAGTGATGTACAAGATGCAAATGTTGTTAAAATGACAAGCAGGTTAAAAAACAATGCAACCAAGAAAATGAACCACACAGTAAGACGAATCATCCAGCTTCCAAGTAAATATTCACAGGGCTTAAAAGCACCTAAAATGAGAAAAATACAGAGAGAAATAAGAGACAATTTAGAAAACACCATATTTCATAATGATATAGCCTAATAAAGAAACTAATGAGAGGTAAATCTAGAATAATTTAATCTTCTACCAAATTGAAAGAGATCACTACTTCTGAGATACTATAGTCATGGACTAGGATATTTTAAAAATAACTGACTCTAATTTACCTTATTCAATGTTTGGTAAGGCCATACAGTGATATTTAAAAAATTTTTTTTTCACTTTCTCTCATACCTAAGTTAATATACAATACACAGTGTCTAGCACATGGAAGGTACTTGATACACTGTAGGAATAGAGTTTGGAATCAGAGAAACTAGGGTTGGATTTAAGATTAACAACTTGCTACTCTACCACCTGTCTGTTTTTCGTACTGTGGTGGCTTGCACGTTGCTATGATGCCGGAAGCTATGCTACTGATATTTCAAATACCAGCAGGGTCATCCATGGTAGATAGGTTTCAGTGGAGTTTCCAGACTAAGACAGACTAGGAAGAAAAGCCTGGAGACCTACTTCTGAAAATCAGCCAATGAAAGCCCTATGGATCACAATAGAGTATTGTTGGTTATAGTGCTGGAAGATGGGCCCCCTAGATTGGAAGGCACTCAAAATACTCATGGCTGCAACAATGGACTAGAGCATAGCAATGATTGTGAAGATGGTACAGGACTGGGCAACGTTTTGTTTTGTCCTACATGCCGACTTCATGGCAACTAACAACAACAACTTGCTATTATGACTTTGAGAAAGCAACTTAAAACACCTGTAAACATTTTCTCATTGGTGAATAATAATGCCTGTTTCACAGAGTGAAGCTTAAGTAAAACTGCATACCTAATTACCTGCCTAGGTACCTAAGCAGGTTACTGGGCACACAGTTGGACTTCAGTAAATATTAGTTCTCTTTTTCTTCTTCCTTCCTAATCCCAAAGTATACTTTATAATAATTATATATGTATGTGTATATGTGTGTGTGTGTGTATGTGAATGTTTACACACAATTCCATGACTCAAAGGCAATCTGATAAGACAGGTTAAGATAATTACCCCATTTTTCATCCAGAAAAATTTGAGATTTCAAAGTGTTTGATTAAACTGACCAAGGATATCCAGTAAAATCATATACCTAGGACTAACACAATAATGTTAATCATTCAAACAAAGCTATGTCCAATGAAAATCGGTATAACTTAAACTAAGATTGCAAGAGCTAATTTGATAGGCCTGAATTGTGGATTCCAGTAACTGACTTTGACATATTAGTTATATCACAAACGACAAGTGTTTTATTTAAAAATTACTAAAGAAAAACAAAATTTTGACTACAAAACACAAGTAAACTGTTTTTACAATTGTCTAAAAGACATGTTCTGATTTATTTTTCTGAACTGTCATGGAATTTGATATACCAGATAAAGCATTCCGGGCTTTGAGATACACAGAGTTCTAAAAGGGCCAGCTCGGCACCACTTATACATAACACTTCACTTTTTATTTTATGGTGGTAAAATACATGAATTTTCCATTTTAACAATTTTTAAGTGTACATTTCAGTGACATTAATTACATTCACAGTGTTGTATAACCATCATCATTTCCAAAACTTTTTCATCCCCCCAAACAGATACACTGTACCCATGAAGCAATACCCCCCGACCCCTGCAGCCTGTTAATTTCTAGTCCACTTTCTGCCTCTATGAATCTGCCTACTACAGACATTTCATAGAAAGTGGAATCACACAATATTTGTCCTCTTGTGTTCAAGAGACTTGGTCTTAATTCTTAATTTTGTTTTTTTAACTCCACCCTTAGGGAAGTGGTAAGAGAGAAAGCTTTCTTTATTTCTGCATCTGAACTCATCCTTCAAGGAAGGACTATTAGCTCGTCTGACCTAGGAGAACAAGGTACCTCTGGAAAGTGTTTCACTGGCAGGTGCAGTTACTTTGCCTCAAAAGCCTAGAGAGCAGGCTCTACCCAGTCTCTGTCTTTGGAAGCCTGCCCCCTCCTCCTAGTCCTGACAGAAGGTCTAGGGCTGTCCTATAATTCCTGCTTCTGCAGTAAGCACAGTGTCTTTGGGCAGACTTAGAGGCTCTCTGTGGGTTGGCACTCTGCGTTACTGAACTGAGTGGGAGAGGCAGGCCTGCAGCTCATCTCTGCTACAGCCTCAGGAGAGAGATGAACTCAGACCAGTTTTCCTCCTGGTCGACCCCAAGGTTTAGGTTTAGTGTGGAAGAAATGGAATTGCTACATGTTGAGGTCTAGCCTCACCTTTAATAAAACTATTCCCTTCTCATTTGGTTGCCAGTTATTTATACGTATCAGCCAACACATGAACCCAGAAGGGCAAGTGAGCCATCGGCACTGTTTAACCTCCAACAATTGATATAGAGACTAACACACAATAAAATAAATTACATAAATGATTCCTGGCAATCCATTTCAGTCATCTGGTAACTTTATGCTTATACTCTACCAGGCACTGTGCTAAGTATTAAATATATATATATATAATGTCCAGATCGTCCCGTGACATTATACTAACAAAGGAATCTAACTTTATAGCACACAGTTTAGTCAAGATATTTCATCTTTTCTTCTACAGTAAAATTCTAAATCCACTTTATTTGGTAGATTAGGAAGAATATGTCATGACAACATGACCAAATATGTGGCTTCAGCTTAGTAACTTTCCCAAATCTACCAGTGATCAACGAAGTAAATTAGAAAGAAAAGGAACAGCAAGCTTGCATTATGGGGGCCAGGAGGGGAGTGGATAAAACTAAAAATTTTTATAGACTAAACTTATAGAATAGTCCTAGAGTTAAAGGAGCGTAAAGCAGTGCTTCTCAAACTTTAATGCACTCTAACCCTCACCTGGGGAGCTTGCTAACACTCAGATTCTTATTCGGTGGGTCTGGGCCTGAGAGTCTACAAAGGATGCCTATGCTTCTGGCCCACAGATCACATTTAGAATCAAAAGGTTTTAAGAGATCATGTAGTCATCCTAAACCTATCACAGAAATCACATCTAATCCCCAAAAGTCTTAGATGCCTTTTTGCCTAATGTTTGTTTAAAATGCAGCAAAATGTGTTGGGTGTACCTGTTGATGGTGTACAGTGGATAATTATTTGACTATGTTCTTCATTTTCAGCACTGCTTGTGACAACTGCTGCATCAGCGGTACCTGACAGATAACATAAAGGATGTTTAATGAAAATATTATGCAATTCAAAAGAACCATATTTTCCTGTAACTCTCCCTCATGTATATGATGTAAATTTAGCCTGATGAGGCTTGATAACAAAGTAAAGATGCCAGTAACACAGTAAATTCCATTGTCTTCACAGGTTTCATACTGATCCTTCACAAAAGGATAACAATAGCAGAAACTTGGATGACTGCCTTAAAGAGTGTTCTGTTTTAAAAAGTCCATGCACTTGCCTTTATCCTTTGCCACACTGTGGTCTTGGAGGCTGCTATCTTCTGTGTTTGAATTTGCATAAGAGTCACAACCCCAAAATGCACAGCACTGATAAGCATATGGTACAGATAAAGACCTGGGGGAAAAAAATGTAAAACCTACATTCAACAGCAACTTCAAAGGCATGCTTTTGTTTTTAAAAAGCATTTTAATCTTTGAAAGCTCCAGCCTAGGAGCCAGAAAGACCTGACTGTCACATGGTTTCGGCTGGTCACTCATCCTCTCTCAGCCTTGCTTTCCTCATCTATAAAATGAGCTCCGGTCTCATAGGACACCATGAGTTTCTCCCTTTATATAAAAGATGCTCATAAGAGTTGACTGTAAATCAAACCGCATTAAAATTCTAATAGCAATAATGCAATTTATAGTAAAATCTTATCAGACTCCTTTTATAAATGAATTAATCACCCCCAATTTATTCTATGAAACTGGTAGTTTTATTTAAAATTAATGCCCCCAGGTCCTATGACTTTTTACCATTAAATGAATGTGCTTTGCCCACATAAATATAGTGAAAATATTTATTTTTTCTTCCACAATAATACTTCCAAACCCTTTCTCTACTATATTTAATAAGGTTCCCCCTATAACTCTAGCTTCTCTTCGAAGTATTATAGCATCTATCAATTTTTTTGTAGGTTCCCATTTATGTGGTTCCCATCATCTTGCTGCTAATGGAAATTCACTGCATAAAAAACTTTCTGATGAATAGCTGCATCATCTCTCTGATAGTATCAATGGCTCCAGTTCATACTCTCAAAGCTATGGAACAATGGTCAAATTCTATTTTTGACCAAATTTGTAAGAACTGAGGTGGAAAATGTCTTAAATTATAGCCTCCCAGAACATATGGGAACCACATCAAAAACCCGGACACTCTATAATTTAGGAGCTTACTATAACTTCAACAAAAAAGAAAAAATAAACAAAAACACACCTGAGATTCACAAAGTCTTTTGCTGCTAAAGCTTCTTTCAGTTTAAAGTTGCCTGCAAGCTTCAGCTGATTGAGCCCATTCAGGCCTTCCGTAGGAAATGAAGTTAATTCATTGAAACTTAGGTCTCTAAAATGTATATGAAACTTTGTTAACTCCTAAGATACAAACCACATAAAAACATCTGTAGATGTATTAATATCAGAAATAAGAGAGCTCTAAGATAAAGTTTAGTTGTGCTAAAATGAAGATCTAGCATTTATTTTGCCATCATAGAAGCTGTTAACACATCAAAACAGCTTAGCATTTATATAAGGGAACAACTATACAGAAAGGTATTTTGATAAGACAGTGTTAAATCACAAGTTTCTATAGCGCTATTCACTACGTTCATGTTATTACTGCATAAAACTGTCTACTTACAGGTTAGTTATCGACCCAAGTTTGGCAAAAGCTCCGCTGTGAATTTCATGGATCAGGTTTCTACTCAGATCTCTGCAATTATTAGAATAACATGTTAATCTTTCAAATAAACACTCACAAAGTCAGTTAGTTACTTCAACTACACTTTAGAATCTGAGGTAATCACACAATATCCCTGATAAGATAACGAAGATTTTCAATCTTGTCCGACCACATTTTTTTAGGATTATTTTGAATGCCTCCTTCACAACAATCTAGTTCTTAGAATGTGTTCCATTTAGTAGTAATTCTACCTGGCATCTGTTTAAAAATAGCTGTGAATTTTCTCTACTTTATCATTCTGGTAACAGTTCAAAAAAATACAAAAGATATGACATAAGCTTTGGTATTATTAAGTAGGTGAGGAAAAGCCCAGCTCATGACAAAGCTGAAAATAAAAACAGGCTTCATTATTATTTGCCTTCTCAAAGGTTAGTGATAAGGCCCTGAGGGAAGACAAACAATCAATATGCAAACAAGAGCATTCCAGAAGGGCTTCAGATATCATTCTTTTCCCAAGCAGGAAATATAAATCGTATCAGCAGGAGAGGCACACTCTATATTGAGAAACACCCACTGAGTAATTCTGATATTACAGGATTAATAAAACAGAGAAATAACCTCCAACCACACTTAAATTGGGCCTTAGTGGAAATTTAAAGATTAGATGAATTCAGTCCATGACACATCTCCTGGATAACAGGAAAATTCAAAAATTTAGTTCCAAATCATAAAAAGGCCAGCTTTTCATTGTTGTCACTTATCAGTGCTCTAGAAGTGATGGCAGCTAGGAGCCAGTTCCCTTCCCACAAGACCTCCAAGGCCCACCGTAAGCCCCCGACAACAAGGAAAAATCTAGCAACCCAAACTACCAATAAAAGATTTCCTAGTAGAACGCATGTTTTATTTCTTAACTAGGATCTACTAGAAAATAGGATTCGATCTATGTAATTTTACTTCACTTCAATTTTTCAATTTTTTTCTCTGTTAAAAAAAGTACACTTATTTAGTTCATCTGTTTTCTGCACTAAAGTTCTATGAACACAGTGACAACATCAGTCTTCCATCCATCCTGTTGTCATCAAGTCGATTCCGACTCATAGCGACATGACAGGACAGAGCAGAACTGCCCCATACGGCTTCTAAGACTTTAATCTTTACGGAAGCAGGCTGCTACATCCCTATTCCCATGAAGCAGCTGACCTTTTGGTTAGCAGCTGAGCACTTAACCGATGTGCCACCCGGGTACCTTTAGGTCTGTCTTAGTCATCTCTATATTCCCAAGAGCTTACAGAATGCCTGGTACAAATATGTACTCAAATACAAATAATTTTTTAAATGAGTGCTTCCGCTGCATATCGGCTATATTTGTAATGATAGATATCCTGATGCAGGGGTCAGCAAACTTTTTCTGTAGAGGACAAGACAGTAAATACTTTTGGCTTTGTGGCTCATACAGGCTCTGCTGTAACTACTCAACTATGCCATTGTATAGCAAAAGTAGCATTAGACAATACTTAAATGAAATGGCATGGCTGCATTCCAATAAAACACAGGTTACACAAACAGGCCGCAGGCTAGTTTTAGCCCACTAGCTATAGTTTCAACTCCTAAAGGATAGGTAAACCACACTATTATAACTTGAAAACAAACAAGCTATATCTCTTGCACCTTTTACTCACCAATGCACAACACTGTCAATTAGCTAAGGTAAAAATTCCAAAAGTAGATTATTTATAAAGTACGTGATAAAGTTTCAAACAACAATACTTATGTAAAATAAATCATATCTTTCAGTATATTTGTTAACATGGGAACTGTAATAGTATATTATTTATAGCTTGACAACAATTTTATGTCTCTCATAATCATAGACAAACTTACAGAATCCTTAGGAAAATCAGGCCTTGAAAAGTACCTTCCTTTATTTGACGGATCTGATTACGTTGCAAAGAACTAAAAAAAAAAAAAATTTTTAATTAAAAAAAGGAAGAAAAAAGAGAGGAGAGAAAAAAGTATTATCTATTAAAAAAATTAAATTTCTTAAACATTTTCTAACTTTAAATACTCACTCATATGTACCATTAATTGACTTTGTTAAAAGTAAAGAGAACCAGCAGGAGGGAAGGGAAAAAGGAGGGTTAACAATGATGGAAAAATCACACTGATTAAGGCTAGGGTTGCACAGCTGATTATTGTAATTGCTGTCACTAAGTGGTACACCTGTAAAAAGTTGAACTGGAAAAGCTGTGTGATAGATATATTTACAAAATGACAAAAAAATTAAAAAAAGAGTAGTTGCTGAGGCTGCTTATGTACAACCAAACACCTCATGGGATTTGGTTCCTTGGTTTGGAGGTTTAGGGTCATGGTTTCATGTGACATCCCAGTTAACTGGCCTAATAATGTGTTTAGTGTTTCTGTTCTATCTCCTAGTTTGTTGCGTAGTTCCTGGGGTCTTAAAAGTTTACAAGCGGCCATCCAAGGCATAACAATTGGTCTCTATTCACCTGGAGTGACAGAGGAGGAAGGAAAGTCAGGAAAAGGAAGAGGATACGGAATGTGTAGCTAATTTCCTCCATGAACAACTGCCTCCTCTGCCATGAGACCAGAAGAACTGGATGGTGCCCGGCTACCATTACTGAACATTTTGATCAAAGATTCCATAGATGAATCCTGATCAAAAGGGGGAAAATGCAGAACAGAGTTTAAAATTCTCAGGGACTCCAGGCTTTCTGGAGCCATAGAGGGTGGATGAACCCCTGAAACTACTGCCCTGAGATAATCTTTAAACCTTAAACCAAAAATATCTCCTGAAGTCTTCTTAAAACCAAACAACAGTTTAGCTTAACTAGTAAAAAAGGTTTGCCTTGAGCATTATGTTCTTTTAACAGCTGTCTATATGGGATCAAAGTGAAAACAGCAACTCTAACGATTAGATGGGAAGCTTAGGGGGCAGTGAGTTTATGTTAATGAGAGAGGAACAACTCAGAAAAGGAGGGTGAGAATGGTTGCACAACTCAAAGAACGTAATTGATGTCACCAAACTGTACATGTAGAAATTGTTGATTTGGTGTATGTTTTGTTGTGCATATTCTCACAACAACAGAATAAATAAAATTTAGGGAAAAAAAGAAAACCATAGCTTACTCATCTATAAAATGAAAGCGACTAAATGGTATTTAATCACAAATTATACTGGGAGTTAACTGGTACACCATGTAAATTCCTTATCAACCAACCTTAGGAGTGAGAGATATGACAGAGTAAAAATCCAAGAAACACAACCGTGACGACTATCATAGGAAGAAGGGGATCAAACTTGGGAGAATTAAATGCTTCCCTCCCTCCCACCTCCCTGCCAACTTCCATCAGAGCAGAATGACATAGGTATATGTGTGGCTACTGGTATCCCTATCTGGTTTCCCTCAATAGTTAGGACAAGTTGTTGTTGTATACACCAACTTCCACAACTCCTCCACCCCCACCCCCATAGTATCTCATAGAATGCCTAATACATAGTTGCCTAAGAAATTGCTTGCACGAACACATCCAGTACAATCTGACATTTTATTCATAGAAACATCTGATTATATGAACTTCTAATTTCTTAATAATAAAGCCATTTATTTAAAAAATGAAATGCTCAATGAACGAACAATATATCACACCAAAAAGAGTAAGTCAAAGACCAACCTACATTTCTTCCAGAGCGTGGCATCCATTAAAACTCGGAAGGTCTTTTATATTGTTGTAAGACAAGTCCCTGGAAACAATGGGAAATTAGCAAATTAATTTTATATTATCAGAACACTATATAAAAAGAGCTATACTTAGCAGCAATGAAAGCAGTACTAAGACCAGTGATAAAGAGATATAACTGAACACGAAAAGTTAACTACTTTTTTTCTAAGACTTAGCTTCTGGAGCTCCTCAGTGATACAACAGGCTTGTTGTTAGGTGCCGTCAAGTAGGTTCCAACTGATAACGACCCTATGTACAACAGAATAAAACATTGCCCAGTCCTGCGCCATCCTCACAATTGTTGCTATGTTTGAGCCCATTGTTGCAGCCACTGTGTCAATCCATCTTGTTCAGGGTCTTCCTCTTTTTCGCTGACCCTCTACTTTAACAAGCATGGCGTCCTTAATATTTGTAGGCTTCTGTTGCCATCGAGTCCGTTCCAACTCATAGCGACCCTATAGGATGGAGTAGAACTGCCCCATTGGGTTTCCAAGGAGTGCCTGGTGGATTCAAACTCCCAACCTTTTGGTTAGCAGCCGTAGCTCTTAACCACTACACCACTAGGATTTCTGTTTGTAGGCTTAGTATATGTAAACTTCCAGTACATAACATTGAGTATAGACAATATAAAGATATATTAACACATATATTAAAGTACATAACCTAAACATATAAAAATTATGTTTAAGTAGTAGAGTTATGGATGCTTTTAAATATTTGTATTTGTACAATATTGTTTGTGCCTTAAGTAATTTCTGTGATGTTCTTTAATTAAAAAGCTATAAGAGGCAGGGAATGCACATTGACATTCTTCTTAATTATTTCTATGAAATCAAATATTAAAATTAATTAACTCTAGTTAACCAAACTCCACTGCAATTTTTCTCAAGGGTGATCATCATGTTCAAGTTTGATATCTTACTACACCATTTAATTACTTGCCTAATCAATCAGTCACTTATTTTGTTACCATCTCCCTCTGCTGAAAACTTATTAACAACTTAGTAACTTGTTTGTTCTAGTGACATTTTTACCTTCTCTATCTGTTTATCTAGCCCTGGTGGCCTAGCGGTTAAAAGCTTGGTTCGGCTACTAACCAAAGGTCAACAGTTCATATCTGTCAGCTGCTCCTTGGAAACGCTATGGGCCAGTTCCACTCTGTCCTATAGGGTCGCTATGAGTCAGAATCGACTCCATGACAACGAGTTATTTATTTACGTACAATGTCTGGATCATCTTAAAGTTTTTGGAAAACTACACAATTAGTTGGTTCCTGATTCAAGAAAGATTTGGGCTCTGCTTAGGTTACAGGTGAGAGAGCAGAATCCGGTTAGCTAAGTCCCCTGGAAGAACTAGAATAAAGACAAGGAATTAGGCTAAGAAAAAAAAATCAAGGAAGAGTCTAGTTTGGTTTTACTTTGTTCAAAGTAATGTCACAAGATGTGTGACATATACATAGCCCTAAAATCAAATTAAAATGCACATTATGTACCCTGTGGACTACTAATACTCCTACTTATTTCCATGAAGGGAATAAATAATAAGTTAAAGTCACCCTATGAAAATAGTTAATTAAAAATAAAACTCAACATGTATGAAATATATAAAAGTATGAAGAGAAGAGAAGAAGAATCCAACTTACAAAGTTCTAAGCATCTTTTGTTCTTGGCACAAATTATTGGGTATGCTGCTTATCTTAGTACCTGTCAGGGTCCTGTGGAAAACATTGTTCATCTGAGAAATGATTTAAGTCAAGATAGTAAACAAAATGCTATTCTGCTAATGAAAAATAAATGTGATGTATTTTCACATGGACTAGAGTTTATGCACCCAACTGCTTCATTACTCCCTACGGTTAGGCATGTGAGAAGGTGATTTAACCCTCCATACAGGTATCATTTTCACAGTAATGTACAAAAACACGTGAAGCAAGGCATCATTAGTGTCTAAACAATGGACTGCATTTCCCACATGGACCAACAGAAAAACACTGATTCAGAGTCATAGCCTCCACCACAATCATCTGCAAGTTCTGTCACTTCCTCACACTCAAAACATTTGAAACCAAAGTAGCATCCTGTCCCCAAACTCTATTTCTATCTTTTTAAAAATTTTATTTATTTATTTATTCAGTTAACCTGGATCAACATGTTAACATTTTCTCTTATGCTCTCATCTGTAGTCAATCCCCAATTCTTCTTCGTTCTTCCTCTAATATCTCTAGCCTCTGACCCTCTGTCCATTTTTACTGCTACTATGCAGATGAGTGGCGGAAGGATGCAGAGAGGCATGGAGGAATCCCAGACAGACCATGCAACTCCAGTGATGGGCTGAAGGCATGGAATGCTCATGGTTACATGTGTTCATTTGGCCAAGTGGACTATTCCCATAGCCTCCTTACCATTTGACCCATTTCTAGTCTCTCTTCTCCTTTCCTTCCTCATATCACCTGTTCAAACATTCTCAACACTTCCAAATAGCCTTAAAAGTCAAGGTAAAACTCCTTAGCTCAGTGCTAGCCAACTTCTGTTTTTTTTTTACAACTTGGCACATGTGGCAATTATAATACTTATATAGCATACTGTGGCTGGGGAACCTAGCCCCCTCAGATACCACCTAGCCATCTGGAGGGCTGAAGTAATCAAAATCTTGTATGCATCTGTAATCTATTCATAGGCAACCCACTGGGAAACTGCCATAACCAAATGTTCAGGTTCACCATTTTAAAATCTAACCCCAAACAATTTTCCAAATTTCTACATACCATGCACCATCTCAGTATAAGCACGCATTTCTAGCTATATTTGATCATCTGCATGCCATCCTTGAGTATACTTTTGGCATTCCCATTTTTACTAAATCTTGCCTTTTTAAATAAAATACCCAGCTCTGGGAAACCTGATAAGTGTTCAGTTTTGAAACATTCCACCGTCTCCATGAAACCTTCTCCAATAGCTTACAGCGATCACTCCCACTTCTGAGTTCCTAAAGCACTGTCTCTCGTTTGTTACTTAATCACTGCCTTGTATTTTCAGTGACCTTTTCAGATGTCACCCCTGAGGTGACTAACTGCAAGCTCTATATCTCCATCTCCATGCATGACATTCACAAAGATGATCATGTAGGGGGCACTGGAAGAAACAGCATAAAGCCATGCCACCACCAAAAAACACAGTCACATTCTGGGCCAGCAGTGTCATCTTACACAGACCCTCTTCAAAGGGCCACACTTACAGACTCTCCAGATGTGCAGTTCCGGTCAGATTGGGGAACCACTGTACCATGCTTGCACCCCGAATGACTCTTTAAGAAATTAGGAGAGAGAAAATTAATGTAAAATAAATTTTCACAGAGGATAACATTTTCATTTAGCTCATGTATAGTTTAAAATTAGAGCATTACTGTAACTCAAAATAAAATTACTTTCATCTGTTGAATGTACATGAGAGTTTGTAACACGGATGAATCTGGAAGGCATTATGCTGAGTGAAATTAGTCAGTGACAAAAGGACAAATACTGTATAAGACCACTATTATAAGAAC